GCCCGCCTCCTCTCCCTTAGAAGGAGCAGGAGGAAAATTAGACATATCAACGGAGAAATGGGAAGGGACCACCTTGACCCCTCCCTCAGAACTGTCGGCTTGGCAGCCGCCTCGTTTCACTTCTACATCTGGCGCCTGGTCAGATGTTTCACTAATGAGCACCCTTTGGGAGGAGCCGTCCGAGTTTGAGATCATAGCAGTCTTTTTTGTTCTGACCATCACGTTCTGCATAGACACAGATACAGTCGGACTTTGTATAAAGGGCAAAGATGGGTCCAGAAAAGGGCAGGTGGCACTCCTAGTCCTAGATTCAGCCGTCCCCGGTGACCGGCTGATCACTAACTTAGGTCGTGTCGTGTGCTTCCGTGGTGCCATTTCAAAAAATAAAAAGAAAATTAAGAGTAAGAGAACTGAGTTACCTGAACGAGTGACGGTTGATGAAGTTCTGAAAATCCTGTGCAGTCGGCTTGTCAGAACAGGCGGTAGGCAGAAAAGGTCCGAAATGTCAGAGCAAGTTCAGGGGTCCGAATGTTCTCGCAAAGTTCTCAAATGTGAAAATGACCGAAGTCAGCACTTCCTTATATAGGCAAAGTGAGAAGGCGAAGGGTCGCTTCCAAATTCAAAATTTGGGCGGGAAAATCTCTCGGCCATTTGCAAGGTGACACCTGTAGCAGGCCGTCGCCTGTCACCGTGCGGCACCTGTCACAGGTGACACGTGACCAGTCACGTGCCACCTGTGAGGGGCAAATGATTAGGGGATTTTTATCCACCAATCACCGTCTGACAAGTGGACCAACCAGGTTCCGCCACGTGTCCTTCACGTAGGCCAATAGGAGCCTGCCACGTGTCAATCACAAATACGTCCTCTACGGACCAATTGAGACACGCCACGTGTCCACCCATGCCAAATGGGAAAACCGGCCAACAAGGCCCAATCCTGTTTAGAGGCCCGGTCAGCCCTAGGTTTACCCTAAACCTAGAGAGTGGCACGCTTCTCAAGACTATAAATACTTAATTAATCCTCATTAAGAGAAAAAAAGAAGAACAGAAACGTTACGGAACACACTAATAACCGGCTGATCTCGCTAACAAAGCAGATTACCTACATTAAACACTCTCACCTAGAGAGACCTTATTACTTTAATTTCCGTATTAATTACTCCTTAATCAGGTACTAACTTGACCGTTGGAGGCGGAGCTCTCAGGAGTCTCCGTTATTTTGCAGGTACAGGCGTCCGGTTCCAGTCTCGGAATTGTAACTCTCCCGCAGGACATCAGAAAACCCCGAAACACCTAGCATGTCACTAAGCAATAAAAATCAAATCTTTAGCCCTAACATGATACTAACAATCATAAATATTAGGAAGAACATCGGAGGCATCGTAACAATCATATTTAATATTAAAATTACCCTAGACATGATACTAGGAATATCATAATAATAATATAAACATGATTTCTACATTAATAAATCAATGAAAACCATTAAAAGTACTTACTTTGATGCCTCGTACCTCTTTCTAATAACAAAATACACGCGTTAGTAACTTTAAGGAAAGTAATAAACAAACAATTAAATTAAATAATTGAAAGAGAGATTTGGGACCAAACCCTCAGAAATTAAACCTTTCACGTCTAGGGCGAAGGCAACTTTGAATATGGCTAGGTGTGTCTAGATCTTGCGAATGCGGAATGTTGTATTTGAAAGCAAGTTTAGAAAGAGAGAAAGAGAGAAAGAAATAAAGATGAATTGATTAAGGAAATCTTAATGAGAATTAGCGAATGAAAACTGATTGTAGGTGAATATTAATTAAAACTGATTGTTGATGAGAATTGTGAATGAAAACGGAGTTTTTAATACGTTATTTATAAAGAAAATCACCCAAAAAGATAAATTAACATAACAGAGTCCTGGCGCAACTGAAATAGAGCTGGCGCCAACGCTGGCTAACTGGCGCCAAGTGCCAACACTAGCGCCAGGCGCCAGGCGCTACGCTTGGCTCTAGGCGCCAATTCCTGGAGTCAGGCGGTGTTTTGGGTGTTTTTGTCCCTTGGGAGAGTTACAACACGAAGACTGATCCGGCGTGAGCTGTACCTGTAAAACAAACGGAGACACCGATTGGGTGGTGCTCTGCCTCCGACGCACAAGTTAGAAACTTGAAGGGAGAGAAAAAAAAGTTGCGGAAATTTAGGTGGGTATCTGCTCGAATTCCAGGCTCAGGTCTTTCTCTGATGTGAGAGAATGCAGGTGTAATAAATGATTCAATCTGTCCCCGAAATGGGGAAATATCTCCCTATTTATATGGTCCTTGGAGAGCGTGCCCCTATCTAGGTCACTTGACCTAAATTTTAGTGGACTGCGCCGTAAAACGACGCTTCTAAGGATTTGGGCCCTTGAAGGCCGCCATTTCAGAAGTGTATCTGAGGGCGCAAAGTGTCAAGAGGATGTTTAAGCCACGTAGGCCATCCTGAGCTTGACATGTGGCTTCCTCTGATTAGTCCACGTGTCTAGGGTATTTTTACCCTAAACATTTGCCCTTCACAAGTTGCACGTGCATATCACACGGGGCCTGTGACACGTGTCCACCTTTCTTAGGTGAACAGTAACGGGTATATTTTTGAATTTCAAATCAAAGATTTCCCTCCGCTTTCACTTTATATAAATAGAAAGTTACCCCCCCCCTTTTCTCAACTTACGTTCACATTTGAATTTTTAGAGAGAGAAAAAGAGAGATTCTAGAGAGAAGTTCTCTGCTTCCTTCTACGTCACATCAAGTTCAAACTTCCGAGTGCTAGCAGTTCAACACCCGGTTTACCGGCTGTAGCGGTTTTCAGAGTTTTCCAGAGAAAAAGCGAGGTAACCGCCTGTACCATTTTAGCTTTCCTCCCTTTCAATGTGTATACCATTTTTTCTCCGCCTGTATACCTAGCTTTTTAGAGAATATAAATGAGTTCCCAATCCACTCACTTGGCACTCCCTAGGACACTTAGCCGATCCCCCGGAACGACTGAGTCTAGAATAGAGGGTGCCTCTTCTGGACTGTCGGAACCAATATGCTCATCCCCGAATTCCTCCCTCTCTGTGTCTGTGCAAGACACAATGGCAAGAACGAAACAGACGGCCAGACGGTCTAAGAGCCGGCGCACTATGAGAGTGCCAGCCGATGAGGTTTTCCCGGACGGGGAACAGAGGGATTGGGAGGAAAGCGGATCTGACGAAGAGGCTCCCTCTACTTCCGGGAGCTCTAGGGTACGAGAGGTAGACGGCGAGGGAGCCGCCTCCTCTAATGAAGCCGGTGTTGCTGAGGCCGGCCAAGGGTCAAGGGCCGAATCTTCCGGCTCTGACCAGGACAATTTTGCGGCTGACTATCAGTTGCCGCCCAAGGTCGCCGACAACCCCAACCCTAAAAGGACCCGGATGCTGCCGGGTAACATCGCCCTCCTCAATAGCGGATTCAGGGCCTTCAAGGAAAAGCACCCCTTTGGAAGGGGTTGGGAGATTATCGTTCCTCCGGCTGACGCCGTAATGGCCTGGGGTGATGACATTGACCATGCAGACGACTACTTCATCTGCTATGAGGCGGTTATCGAAGCCGGCCTCCAGTTCCCCCTACACCCCGAAATCAGGAAAATTCTTAAGGGGTACAATGTAGGGGTTTGACAGCTTACCCCTAACTTGTGGGTGAATATTCTCAGTTACATCGCTGCCTGCGAGTTTCAAAATATAAACCCTAGTTTTTCCGCCTTCGCTCATATGCACTACTTGAGCAAGGCCCCAGGCGGCCGTGGGACATGGTATACTCTGACTACCTTGCCCCAATACTTGATGACTTTGGACAAAGTGTCCAAATGGTCCGGGTGGAAGGACAAGTTTTATTTGGTTTCTTCCCCCACCCTAAGACACAACCGGACACTGTACCGGTACAATACTGAACAGGCTCTTCTGGGACGTAAATGCCCTCTCCCGGCGCTATCTACTAAGGCCCGGTAGCAAATATTGGAGTCGGGATTCTTTGAAACAACAACTGAGCCCATGGGGGATGGGACTCACCTCAATGTACCTAAAAACTGGATTTACCATCCGGACTTCTTCAAGGACGAGTGCTTCTTGTCCGCCTGCGGGCTAAGTACCATGTTTCCCCGGGGTAGAATATTTCTCATCCTGAAAGATTGTTATTTTACTTTAATTGCAAACTTGCCATAATTTATTCTAACCATAAATTCTTGTTCTTGCAGACGAAGCCTTGAGAATGGTAGACAAGCCGAAGACACCGGCTAAGTCCGCGGCGCTGCTGCGCAAAGAGGCGGCACTTGCCAGGAAGGCAGCCGTCGAGGCTAAAGATTCCAAGAAAGGCGGTATAAGATCGCCTGACTTAATGTGTTTGCGTATTTCCTTTTCTTTTACAATTTTGCCGGTTGGGTATACTTACCCTTTGTTTATTTCTTAGGAGTCCGTCAAGAAGATCCCACGATCTTTCTCCAAGCTGCTCAAAAGGCAAGGAGACGATCTGGAGAAGACTCCGGCTGCTAAAGCCTCCAGGAAGGGCCCTCCTCCTCCCCAGACACAATTATCTGCCCAATCCGATCGTCCAACGACCGGGGGCAAACCTCCTGCTGTGCTGAAAAAATTGAGCGAAAGCTCAGAACGCTCGCAGTAGAAAATGCCGGATGCTCTACGACATCAAAGGGTGGCGAGCCACCTAATGTTGCAGGCGGTGTGGCAACGCCTGGGGAGGAGCAGAATCCGGAGAACCATCCGGAAGCCCAAGGTAAGGGAAAAATTGAAATACCTTGGCCACTTGATTTTATGAGAGTCAAGACCAAGGTTGATCCTTCTAAAGGGTCCGTCTGCAACCGGCAACGGATGAATGCCGACTACGTTGCCTCTATCTCACAGAGTATTACTTTTGATACAGATCTGACTTCTCACCAGCCGGATCTTGCGGGTTTTGCAAAACGGATGGTGAGGACCCTCATCCGGTCTGAGAAGAACTCAATACCTGATCTGCAGGTCGTGGAGTTCGACCGGATAATGAGCCAACTGGCTGAGGTAGTGAATCCCACAACCTTGACATCTTTTATTTTTAATTTTTCTAAGTAACTCATAAGCCGGTTGTTCTTGTACCAGACAATGCTGAGAGTGGATAGCCTCCAGGGCCCCTTCAGGCGGAAACAGGAAGATGTAAATGACGCCAAACGGAGGGTCCTTGAAAACCTCAACTCTGCTGAATATTCTGATTATATTTGTAACTTAAAGATTAAAGCAGTAGAGTGAAAATAGGAGGAGCTGATCCGGAATTTGACAGCTGCAAATGACGAAGCTAACAGTCGGGCTAATGACCTTGATAAGAAGCTGAAGGATGCCAAATCAGATCTCAAGGCATTAGAAGATGCTGACAAGGAGAACGCCCAGCTCCGGGCAGACGTTACCCGCCTGGGGATTGAGCTTGTCAATCTGCGAAAGAAGCAGTCGGACGAGCTTGCCCAAGAGTAAAAACCGATGTCTGAGGAGAATGAGCGGGACAACTTGGCCAAGCTGAAGATCACCTGGTACCTCCTTTACCCAGAAATAGACTTTGAGGTCTATAAGCTGAGGTATGATTACGCCACTGAGGTGTATGATGCCCAGCTACTGGCTGATGCTTCCCCGCCTCACTTCAAGGATTGGGCTGCTGAGCAGGGATATGATGTCTCTGATACTGAGGAGCCGGCGGATGAGCATAACGAGGGCCAAATCATCAAAACTCAGCCAGAGCAGCATCAAGCACCTCAGCCTTAGGCGGGCCTTCCTTATTTCTGCAAAAGTATGCCATCACTGTTTCTTTACCGGCTTGTATGCCGTGTTATGTTGTACTTTTACCAACCGTGGGGTTGGGTTAACAATTTATTTTTTCTCCTCACCGGATGTAACTCCGGTTAACACAACTTATGTCCTTTGAGCCATTTTAAATATTAATGAAGTATTCCGAAGCAGTCGGTTGTTTATACCTGTTTGTGTTTCGAATTTTTGATTTGAATTTTGCGTATGTTTGCAATTCTTTAATATTTTTTCCCAACTTAAAAAAGTATACGACAGTTTGCAATTCGGGTGCTCTTGCCCCTAGACGGCTGTGTGGTTGGTTTTATTTAAAATTGATTGATTGGCTTGAAAACACTTGATACTAGGAGAAGTATGGAGTGTTTTTAGGCCAATCAATCACAATGGTTATTGCCCCAAACCAAGTGCACAGCCGGCCATTAAAACGGGTGCTTTGAGCTTCATACCCAGGCGGTTGTATTCCGTCTGGGGTTAACGCGTAGCCATTACACAATCTTTTACCCCAATAGGGGGAGTGAGTGCAACTTTGGAATAAATAACCTAAGTAAGAACTTCAGTCGATGACCGACTGATGCCTCAGGGCATCCGGTTTTCGGTAACTTAATTGTTCTTTAGGTTATTCTGGTCAGATGGCTATGAGCTGACCACTTTGGTCTTTTAATTTTCACCATCCGCGTTGGTACATAGAACCGACGAATAGTCTATTCTCTGCGACGATTGCACCCGGAGGGGTGTCGCGAGACGCCTTTGGTCTTGTTGAGACAGGCGGTTTTGTAAAATAAGCAACCATCAGGCCATATTGGCCTTTGGTCTTCTTTGAGACCGGTTGTATAGCCACTAGGCGTTTTTGTGCCAAGTTTTTTTTTAACGTGATCTTAGTTGGTTGAACGAATTAATCCGTCTAAGTATTACCCAGACGGATAAGCGATTGATAATTTACACCAAGTTTCAAACTTAGTGATTCAAACAGAGAGTCCGTCTGAGTTTTGCCCAGGCGGACTAGCAATTAAAATTTTCAACTAAACTAAGTGTCAAACTTAGTTAATTAAACTCAGGGTCCGTCTGAGCATTTCCCAGGCGGACGAACAATAATAATGGCAAAATAAATCTACAAACAAAGCCTGAATTTTCATTAATTGACTTACTGTTTACAAAAAAATATACATTCTCAGAAGTAGTACTTTTTCATATTATCAACATTCCAAGCTCTAGGCAGGCGGCGACCGTCTGGGGTTTCCAGACGATAGGTGCCATTCGTGACTTCTTCATTAATCCGATAGAGGCCTTCCCAGTTAGGGGTTAGCTTCCCAGCCTCATTAGCCCTACCGGTTGCCTCCATTTTTCGTAACATAAAGTCATCCACTTTCAGAGGACGCTTGTGCACTTTTTTGTTATAAGCTCTGGTCATTCTCAGGCGGTATATCTCATGGCGCAGGGCAGCGTTGCCCCTGCGTTCCGGGAGGGAGTCCAATGCTAGCCGCATGGCCTCCCAATTTGCCTCTTAATCATATAGCATGACTCTGAGAGTCGGCTCGTAATGTTCGATAGGCAAGACGGCTTCAGCACCGTAAACCATGAGAAATGGGGTTTCACCGGTTGCCCCTTTAGCAGTAGTCTGGATGGCCCATGGGACATGAATTAACTCTTCTGCCCATAAACCACCAACTCTTTCAATTTTCTTTTTTATGTCGTCTAAGATGAGTTTGTTGAAGGCTTCAACCTGACCGTTTGCTTGGGGTCGGCCGACTGATGCAAAACGGTGTAAGATACCCTGATCTCCCAACCAATTCTTGAGCTGGGGGGTCTCAAACTGAGGACCATTAACAAACACCATAGACATAGGTACCCAAAACCAGGTGATGATATTCTTCCAGATGAAAGAGATGCCATCCTTTGTCTTGATGTTCTTAACCGGCTCAGCTTCTACCCATAGACATAGGTACCCAAAACCAGGTGATGCTGGGGGGTCTCAAACTGAGGACCATTAACAAACACCATAGACATATACTCAAAACCAGGTGATGCTGCTCGCTTTTTCATGACGGCTGCCTCCTGTGGTGAATTAGGAAGCTTGCCGTCTGCTAAATATTTCTGGATGCCATCTATCCAGGTAGAGCTTCTGTCTAAGATTCCAATGGGCTCTTCATGTATGCTTCTCTTTTCAAGAACTTTCTAAAAGACCGACCGAGGAGTATCACAGCAGGCGGATGAAGCCAATTTGGACAACGCATCCGCCTGGTTGTTATCTGACCTAGGCACTTGATTCTGACGGAATTCTTCAAGTGCCCCAGCCTCTTCTTTGACTACCTGAAGATATTTTTTCATAGCCGGATGAGTTGCCTCATATGTTCCCTCATATTGGCTGACGACCAATTGAGAGTCAGAATAGGCGTCAATTTTAGTTGCCCCTGCTGCCTTAACCATGCGAATTCCGGCTAGCGGGGCTTCATACTCCGCCTCGTTGTTTAAGGCTTGAAACTTAAACCGCAGTGCATATTCAAATTTTTCCCCCTCAGGGGACTCATATATAATTCCTGTATCGCAGTCGTTCTTCGTTGAGCTTCCGTTTACATACACTTTCCAAACCTGTTCAATATTATCCGGTTGCACCGGTCGAGTCATTTCAACAATGAAGTCGGCAAACGCCTGATCTTTCACTGCCTTTCTAGGTTCAAAAGTGATTTCAAGACTTTGCATTTCTATAGCCCATTTCAACATTCTGCCGGATGACTCCAAAGTAGACATTGGCCGCTTGAGTGGATGGTCGGTGTAGATTACCACCGTATGAGCCAGAAAATAAGGTTTCAATTTCTTGAAAGCCATATACAGGGCAAGGCCAAATTTTTCTACCATGGGGTACCTGAGCTCAGCATTTTTTTAGAACATGGCTAATAAAATAGACAGGAAGCTGACCACCATCTCTCTCAGCAAGGAGAACGGCGCTAAGGGCATGATCCGAGATGGCTAGGTACATGTATAACACCTCTCTAGCCAGTGGGCTAACAAGCCTTGGCAAAAAGTGCATGTGTTCTTTCAACCGTTGAAAAGCCGCCTCAGCATCATCCCCCCATTCAAATCTGGTCTTCTTCCTAATTGCTTGGAAGAAGTAAAGGCATTTGTCACCTGATCGGCTGAGGAATCTCCCCAAGGCGGCCAGGCAACCGGTTAGTCTCTGTGCTTCCTTGACAGTGCGGGGTGACTTCATGTCAATCACCGCCTGTATCTTCTCAGGGTTAGCCTCTATCCCCCTTTGATCAATCAGGAATCCGAGAAACTTCCCAGACTCAACACCAAAGACGCATTTCTTAGGATTTAACATAACCTTATGCCGCCTGAGTGTGGTGAAGGTTTCTCGGAGATCAGCAAGGTGATCTGCTTGCTGCTTGGATTTGACTATCATGTCATCAATGTACGCCTCTACATTCCTCCCAATTTGATTAATAAAGACCGTATTAATCATCCGTTGGAACGTAGCCGACGCATTTTTCAAGCCAAACGGCATGACACTGTAACAGAATAGCCCCTGATCAGTGATGAAGGCCATCTTTTCTTAATCTTTCTTCCACTGGGGTATCTGATGGAAGCCGGAATATGCATCCATAAAGCTGATCAAGGCATGCCCGGCTGTCGAATCGACCAGGCTATTGATCTTAGGAAGCGGATAACTGTCCTTAGGACATGCATTGTTGAGATCTGTGTAATCAACACACATACGCCAGGTACCATTTGGCTTCCTTACAAGCACAACATTCGCCACCCAGTCGGGGAAATTACATGGACGAATGAACCCAGCATCCAACATCTTTTTAACTTCAGCAGCAGCCGCCTGACTTCTCTCCTCGCCGTGATTTCTTTTCTTTTGCCGGATGGGATTCTTTTTAGGGTCTACGGCGAGTTTGTGGACAACAAGTTCCGGGCTGACGCTTGGCATCTCCTCCACTTCAAAGGCAAAAATGTCTTTGAATTCTTTCAGCAGAAGGAGCAAGTTTGCACCCAACTTTGCAAAAGCAACCATCCCAACCTTCACAGTACGCTCTGGACGACTGTCGTCCAGAGGTATATCAATATGTTCACCAGCCGGTTGGGGACGGAGCTCATCGGACCGTTCACCGGTCAGTGATTGCTATTTTTTCTCTTTCTTCACCTCCACCAGCATAGGTGCCTTTATTTTCTTCCCGGCTGCTAATGGGGCTGGTACTTGATCAGCAACCTTGACATTGTCAAGGTCTATTGGTTCCTGGCCGTCTTGGGCCACGG